ATCAAAACCACTTATACAACTCTTCCATATATAAAAGGTTTATCTGAACAACTAACTAATCTTTTAGCCAAACATAACATAACAGTGGCCCACAAAGGCAACAATCTCTTAAATAAATATTTCACAAAACTAAAAACACAAACTCCAAAACTTAAAAAATCACATGTTGTTTACGAGATACCATGTACAAACTGTGAAGGTGTCTATATCGGTCAAACCAGTCAACTGCTTCAATCCAGAATTCGTTCTCACAAATACGACAAGAACAACGTCACTGCGCTCACAAAACATGAAAGCGGGAAGAAGCATAAATTTGATTTTGAAAACATCAGAATTTTAAAAACAGAAAAAAACAAAAAAAAGAGGGAGATATACGAATCAATAGAAATAAAAAGAAACACCAACGCAATAAATGACAAAAAAAATACACAAAACCTAAATAAAATATATTTCAATCTGATTTAAATAATAATAATATAACATCATAAAAAGCTCTTAAAGTCATAACATATCTCCACCTTACCTTTTTCGAAAACATCAACGATACGCTCATATAAAAATAATTATCTACTAATGACAGTAAACAATGAGATATCAGATATCAACTTTTATATGTCAGTTCGTTAATGTCTGTGTCACGTTTTACGTTTTGGTAAGTCATATATATATATACATATTTTAAAATATCTGTTTGTACTTATATATATACACATTTTAGAATCTTGACAAAGGCAAGGGTTTCCTGCCGAAACGTTGATTTATTGCAATGGAAAATAAAATCTAGTTCCACATGTAACATATATTTATTGAACCTAAACCCAAGAAACATTAATTTTATATTAAATATAATACGGTTCAAGAAACTCAAAGCTACAATAAATAATAATTTATACCTTTACATCTTTAAAACGTCTACTTTACTTGTATTGGAAACCTTTCATAAATAATTTTTATCATAGGAAAATGATAGATAGAATCTTTAAAAAATGCACGTATACCTGAAAATATAGGGTAAAATTACAGAAATACCATACTTGTTTCAAAATTGTTATTAACAGATGTAAAAATGATAGAAAAATATGTTTTATGGCACAAGAGTGGAAGAAACCCTAACACCAGAAGCGCGGCCATTCCAATTTTGACCCATTTCAAAATTCATCTCTGTGCAGTAAATATTCTATACTAGCCTTACATTTTTTATGACATTTTGTGAATTATCGGGTACATTACAATCTGAAAACTATGTGTCTCGAATAACTATTTTTTTTTGTTTTTTATAAAATTACCTTAAAGCGCGGATGCGTCATGAATGACCTAACTATCTATAATAGTAAAAATTATTTACAATTGATACATACTAATTTATGTTGGAGTTTAAGTGTTATAACTTATAACTGATGGCAATAGAATGTCGGAATACATAATCCCGTTTGGCATCTCACCAGAACAATTAATAAGGAGAAAAATGTAAAATGGGCCATATTGTGCTTCATCCCTTTCAAATCACCAGGGACTGACGGCATATATTCAGCCCTACTACGGTGAGTACTGGTTATCCTTCTACCGCACCTCGTGGAAATATTCAGAGCCTCTTTGGCTCTGAGAAATAATTCTAGGAAGTGGAGAGAGGTATGTGTGGTCTTCATACCAAAACCAGGTAGGATGGACTACAGCCTACCAAAGATCTTCCGAACAATTAGCCTAACATCCTTTCTGTTGAAAACGATGCAAAGGCTATGCAAGAGGTACATAAGGGATGAAGTTCTGGTCCATAACCCACTTCACCCAAATCAACATGCATATACTTAGGGAAGATCTACCGATTCTGCACTGCATTATGTAGTGAAAAAAATAGAAAGATCGCTGGACAATAAAGAATTTAGCTTAGGTATATTCAAAGACATTGAGGGAGCATTTAATAAAACTACATTCCCAACCATCACCCAACAGCTAAACGTCAGGAATGTTCCCCTGGCTGCAGTGGCGGTTGGTATATAAGTGCAGCGGAGCTGTAGAACCACCAAAATAATCCAAACAAAATTACTTTGAAAATTAAATAACAAATATCACTACTTATAAAATCTAAATTCATTTAGATGGTTTTCGTGCATGGCCGCCTTTATTTTAATCTGTTGTCCGTCGCATCTCATGGCGACAGCAAGTCCCACTTATTTGACCGGACCGGTGCTACTCCGATCTGTGAACTGTTAAAGATATCCCCGATAACACCCGCTCAACCCCTCGCCACACTTTTCAGACGACGACTGAAAGCAATATTTGAGCTGCATTTGTCGCAGTTCGAACTAGTGTGTACAAACCTACGTTTATTGTAATTTTAAATAATCGGTGATCGCGACGCGACGACTGTTAACATAAGTTGTCCTGCACGTAATTCGGTATTTATATTAAGTATATGAGAATAAAAGTGCTGTTCAGGATGGATGTTATTTATAATTTGATTAATGTTAAGAGAGTCTTTAAATATTCTTATGACGAAAAACTAGAATTAAAATGCAAAGGACGTCCTTTGCCGGATATTAAAATCGAAAAAGAAGGATCAAGCCGAGGGAAAAATTACAAACGACAATTTAATTGCGATATTTATACGAGAAATAGTTGGATATGTGGCTGCAACAGAAAAAACGCTCTTTTCTGTTTTCCTTGTGTACTCTTTGGAGGTGATAAGTTATGGACACAAGTTGGTGTAACAGACTTAGTACATTTAAGTGATAAAATAAAAAAGCACGAAACTTCTAAGCATCATTTGCACAATCAAATGGAATATGCTGTATTAGGCTCCGTGAATATTAAAGAACAGTTAGATTCTGCATACTGGATAAATATTCAAAAATTCAATGAAGCTGTAACAAAAAATAGGTATGTTCTCTCAAAAATTATAGACTGCATAAAATTTTGTAGTGTTTTCGAATTGGCGCTTCGGTGACACGACGAGACACAAACATCCGACAATCCTGGAATTTTTCGCGGCCTCATAAATTTTAATGCTGAATTGGATAGAACTTTAGCACAACACTTGGAAGAATCGACGGTTTTTAAGGGCATTTCTAAAGAAATTCAAAATGATATTTTGGACTGCATGTTGGAATTATGCCAGGATAAAATTTTGGAGGAAATTCGGGAATCTCCATATCTAGCTGTCATGGCCGACGAGACTACAGACATTTCAGCAAAATCACAAATGGTTGTAGTATTTAGATATTGTCGAAATGGAGCACCGGTAGAACGATTTTTGACATATTTGGTACCTTCAAAATTAAATGCAGATACTTTAAGCAAAAACATTTTCAGTGTTTTGGATTCTATCCAGGAAAACTCAAATAATAAACTAATTTTTCAGAGTTATGATGGGGCAGCGGTCATGTGTGGACAGCACGCAGGAGTTCAAGCCAGAATCAAAGAAAAATATCCATTTGCTCATTTTGTACACTGTTACGCGCATCAATTAAATTTAATAATGTCTAAGGTTTGTTCCGAAAACTCTCAAGTTAGACTTTTTTTTTGGAAATTTAAATGAAATCCCTACCTTTTTTAAAAATTCTCCACAACGAGTGGCAGTTTTAGATAAAATCGTCCAAAAGAAAATTCCTCATGGCGCTCCAACTCGCTGGAACTTTAATATTCGAACTGTTAATGTTGTGTTATTGTTATTAATGTTATTTATTTTAGAAGAGACTGTAGAGACATTAATGGGGCAATACCTTTTTTAAAATTTTTAATTGAAAATAATTTAACAGAGCCTTTTCAAGAAACTGTAAAACTGCTTCAAATTCTAATTACAGTGCCCATGAGTGCGGCAGAAGCTGAAAGGTGCTTTTCGAGTTTAAAACGGATTAAAACGTTCTTGAGAAATTCCATGACTGAAGACCGACTTGTAGCATTAACCATGTTGTCAGTAGAAAAAACACTTATAAAAGAAATACCAAACTTTAATGAAAAAGTTATAGACAAGTTTGCTTTAAAAAAAATCGACGAATCGAGCTTATTTATAAAAAAAAAAAATAATATATTTGGCTCTGTGTGTAGTTAGTTCGTAAGACACTATAATGCAATTATTGTTGTGGCGATTTTGTTTGTAGTGTTTTTTCGTTTGCATTCCTTAGTTTCGCGTATTTATCGATAAAATTCTACTAAAAACATAAACTATAAAACAATTACTAGTGTGCCATAATGTACCATTGCTATTTTTGATATAATTGGATTTATCTTCAATTTGAAAAGAAGAAAATCGCTAAGTTCTTTATTATTTTTTAATAGATATATAATGAATAAATATATGGTGTAAAATATCAAACTAAAAGCCTCGTTGTAAAATACAACGATTAAAAGATATTGAATTAAAAAAAACCGAAAAATACTGCAGAACTACCAAATTTTTGAGTCACCAGCCGCCACTGCCTGGCTGTAAGCGAATGGATATTCAGTATGCTCTCTAATAGAGCAATAAGCATAAATATAGAAGACGTTTCTCTCAGAGGCATGGTTACAAGGGGATGTCTAGAACATAGTTCTAGATATTCTGATTGACCTACTCAGCAGCAACGGTTTCTACTTCTACACAATAGGCTATGCAGACGATATTGCTGTCCTGCAAAGCGGTAAATTTGAGAGCGAGCGCCTTCGGAAATGTATACCCAATACAAAGGGAAAATAATGTATTGATAATAATTCGTATAACCTTTAATACAAAAATAAATTTATTCATCGATTGTTTCCGTTGTGGATATCAGTATCCTTCGAATAATTTTAATATTTTTACTTAATAATAAATGAATCCAATTATAGATTCTATTAAAAACATATATTCCGTCCGAGGGTATATCTAGAAAATCCTTCAAGAACAAATATTTGCTCTTTCTTACATATAAAAAGGTATCTGTCCGAATTTCTTTGAAACAAGAATAATAAAAAACACATATGTATTATCCCAACGACTACGTATAAAAATTCGTATTCTATTTTATCTCCGCAATATTTTTTACCTTTTCGTGGAAGTTCCATATAATCACCACTTTCGGGAATTCGGTTAGGAGCCGACGTCGACTCGCAGATTTGAGCTGCAGAACAAGGTGTGGTATTAAGCAGAAGGTCAGGAAGGGATTGTTGTAGAAAAGAAGGAATTGGAGGAGGCGGGAGAAAAAGTATTGAATCAGGCGGCGGCCCCAAATCCAAACAATCCAGGCAGCTCATGATTGAGCTGTTGTTCTGAAACAAAATTAAACGGTAAGCTGCGAATTAAGTTTTCATCAATATATATTATGTAGGATAAAGTGATGCTAATTTTTTTGTTCCAATTTCTGTTTAAATAAATATCGTGTATGCGAAGAACAATGAGATCAAAAATAAGATTTTGAAAACTGATCAGTATTTAAACGGTAGATAAACTCACAATATTTATAAACAGAATATGCTGTGCTAAGAAAAAAGGTCTTATCTAATAATTTAACGACCTAGAGTCACAGTATAATTTAAATTTGGAACAATGTAAAAGCATATATGGATGTCACAGCTACAAATTTATTGTTCAGTTACATAAGAAGGCACTAAAAATGATCTGATTAGATCGAAAATGTTATGCTACTGTATACATTTTGACGACGTTTTTTAAAAGTTTTAACTATATGTTTTTTATACCTAAATACAAATGTGAAGTGTTTTAACTTCTGTATGGTTTTTTAAAAATAAATTTATTTGGTTCTTGTGTTGATGTTGTTGGTTTCTAATGGCGTATATGATTCTACAGAGCAAAGATTTTTGGTAAGCGGTCACAGTTTCACGTCTTATGACAAGAATTTTGCCGTAATAGATAAACGGAAAAAAACGTTATTACTTCCGCAAGATACACTTCACCTTTCGATGTCATCGACATGAATTGTTTTGGTTTTTCGAATATCAAAGAGGCTGATGAGATAATGTTAGATACCACTAAGCTAGAAGTTAGCAAATCAGTTAGGATACGTGTTTAAAAAGAGAATCTTATAAACATCAAAATCACCCATTCATTTTCAGAATTTGCCTCATGGCGTGAAACTTACATTAAAAAAAAAAGACGCTATTTGATTTAAAAAAATTAAAGTATTGATAATGGAACCCGAAACCAAAATATCAGCGAACAAGAAGAAATGTCTTCAATCAATGATATCATTCCTCAACACACCTCAGCACCAACAGTTCTACAAAAATGTACTAGGAGTAGTTGAAACTACACAAGAAGATCCTGCTGAAAACACTTACATGCAAAATAATGATATATTTTATCCCGTTACTGAAGAAAAAAAAATAAAAACAATCGTAAAATAGTTTCGAAACACAATTCAGATTTCTGCTTTATAATCTGAGCCTTCTAAAAATTGCAAGGCAAACAGACGTTGATAAAAGATGTTAAAAGAGACATGGGGAATCTAAAATTTGCATTCCACGACATGTCTTTTACAACTAAGCAGAAATCCTTAGCGAATTGTGCTTCTTGTACTCACACAGAGTAAATCCGAATAAAATGAGAAAAGGCAGCAAATATTTGATTTCACGCAAACAAATCCTATGTATCTCTTTATACGTATTTCGACCTAATAGGTCTCGTCAGAAGAGCTATTCATAGGGCTTCTCAACGTGAAAAATCAATATTTTCTGCCTTTTAGGAAGCAACAATAACATGGCTTCAATACGGACGTAATAGCGACATCTAATTACAACAATCGTAAAATAGTTTCGAAACTCAATTCAGATTTCTGCTTTATAATCTGAGCCTTCTAAAAATTGCAAGGCAAACAGACGTTGATAAAAGATGTTAAAAGAGACATGGGGAATCTAAAATTTGCATTCCACGACATGTCTTTTACAACTAAGCACAAATCCTTAGCGAATTGTGCTTCTTGTACTCACACAGAGTAAATCCGAATAAAAGTACAAGAAGTGAGTACAAGAAGCACAATTCGCTAAAGATTTCTGCTTAGTTGTAAAAGACATGTCGTGGAATGCAAATTTTAGATTCCCCATGTCTCTTTTAACATCTTTTATCAACGTCTGTTTGCCTTGCAATTTTTAGAAGGCTCAGATTATAAAGCAGAAATCTGAATTGTGTTTCGAAACTATTTTACGATTGTTGTAATTATATATTAGGTCGAAATACGTATAAAGAGATACATAGGATTTGTTTGCGTGAAATCAAATATTTGCTGCCTTTTCTCATAAAAAAAATAAACTTTTTATACTTTTATAATATTATTCTAGGTACTTTTAGATTAAGTTTTAAGTTTTGTTATAAGTATACAGAGTTGAAATGTCTCAAAATGTTGGTTATGACACTTATCTCATTTAAAACTTATACTCTTCAATTGACATCGTATATTATATACCATTTGCACAAAAAGAAGAACTCTAAGAAAAAGAAGAAAGTATGACACTTCCCTTGCTACAAAGAAAAAAATGGTACCTACCAAATGTGATTCAATAAAACGAAATTGTGGAAAAAAAAACAAATTCTCAGTATATTGACTTCTTCTTAACGTGCCCTATCAAGTCCCCTTCACGTTGGCGATTAACATGGCGAAACTGTCTCTGTCTCGAGATATTGACAATACTCTTAAAAAATTATCATCGCATTGAGAAGACGTTGCATATCATCCTTGTCTTGCTCTTCTTGTGTATATTCCAGTCTTCCGATTATTTTATGTACTCTGGTTGCAATGCTCTGCTAATCTTTGTGTGATGCGCACCTAAAACACGGACCCTCTATAACTAAAGTCATTGCATGGACAGCTTCATTTTCAATTAGATGTCTCGGCTATCCATGCTTAATATAAAAAAGGCTTATATTTTGTACTGGCGAAACTGTTTGTTTAAGGTACAATCAACAAAAAATGAAAAACAAGAAATTCAATAACTGAAGGAATTTGAGCAAATAAATTAAATCAAACAAGTAGGTACCTATATAGTTAATTATATCTAGCCTTACTTATCGTTATAGTAAAGCTAAACAGATTTTGTTTCTTTTTATCAACAAAATAAGCAGTGGTGCAATAATTTTGTCCATGAGTACAAGTTTAAAAATCATATTTATTTGTTTTCAAAATATTAGCTCTATCAGAGTAAAATATGACATGACATGACATGATATGACATAAAAAACTTTTACTCTTTTAAAATGCAGTACATATCGTATTCCATCAAACTAGACTAAATACACTTTGTAACAATCTTATATAATTAGTGTGACTCCTAATTTAAACAAAAATAAAATGTGTATTCTATAAGTCAAGATTGAATGTAAATATTAGATAATTTATTTTTCTGTGCTGCAAAGTATGTTAGTAAATTGTATCTATTTTAAGTAACTTTCATCACAGTAGAATAACAGGTTTTCTACAAATAACAAAAATTTATATATATATATATATATATATATATATATATATATATATATATATATATATATATATACATAATGAACCAGAAGTATTTGCTGACAAGTTAAGTAAGTAAATTTTAAATATTGGGTTTGCAGCAATAAAAAATGATACGTGTACTCTTCTAAATTTTTCTTCCAAGCTTTCGGACATTGGTTACGTCCTCCATGAGGGAGAAACTTAATGAGGTTGGATCATCAATGATTTTCAATAATGTTGAAAAAATTTATCTTGTCAAAAATAAAAATGTCATGAATGTGTGTATAATAATTAAGTGTTTGTGATTGTAAAGTAATTTAAAAAATTTTAAATATAGGAATAGGTTTTATGCTCAAAAAATATGACAGACTGTGATAAATTTTATCAACATTATAGAAAATCATTGATGATCCAACCTCATTAAGTTTTTTCCTGATGAAGGACATAACCAATGTCCGAAAGCTTGGAATAATTTAGAAGAGTACACGTATCATTTTTTATTGCTCCAAACCCAATAAGTATTTAAAATTTATATATATATATATATATATATATATATATATATATATATATATAGGTATATATATACATATATATATATTATATATATATATATATATATATTCTTATATATATATATATATCCGTATATATATATATATATATATATATATATATATATATATTATATATATATATATATATATATATATATTATATATATATATATATAGGTATATATATATATATACATTTATATATATATATATATATATATATATATATATATATATATATATATATATATATATAATATATATATATATATATATATATATATATATATAACTCAGCAGTCTTGACCAACAAGACTCAACAGGGTTGACCTCTTCAAAGTCTTCTTCGGGGTTTTCGAGTTCTCTGTATCCGAAGCCTCCAGACACTACTACATTGATCACTAACCAATGCATTACTGGTACTGGGAATAGAGGACGGTTCATTTATATCGTCCATGGTGACGTGGTTTGGGTGGAGGTTCGCGCGGTGGTTAGCGAGCGGATTGGTGCGGGGGTTAGCGTGAATATTTCTGACAGTGGGATTTTGATTGACAGGTGGGGCGGACGATATTTTCTTTCTGAGATGTCTCCAAGTCGAAGGTAACCGTATGCTGTCATCTCTTTTATTGAGACAATTTGGTCTTTTTTTCAATTTCTATGGCTTCTCGGATAATTCTTGGTATATTGGTTTAGCTTCTCGGATAATTCTTGGTTTATTGATGTATAGAAGCGGATGGGGGCTATGGTTCTGAAGTTTTTAAAATCAATTTTGTGATCTGTATGAAGATGGTGTTGACCTAAGGCTGAAATTAAGTCGGAATTGCGAACAGAAATGTAATGTTCATAAATCCTATTTTGGATTCTACGGTTTTTTTGGCCTATATAGGATCAGATTAGAAAGGAAATCTTTCGTATGATGTGGGTCTGAGTCTTTTGGGTAGAGATTGAGTGGGAGATTGATGCCTGTGTGTGCTCCTATTAAGGTAATTTTCGCGAAAAAAAAGAAGATAGCTTTACAGATCATTAATTTATGTTTAGTTCTTACTTTTGACAACAAAGCATAGGTACTTACGTTTTATAGGTGACACAGTTATTTTAATGTGGGTACGTATATTTTTCTTGAAAATAAGCCAAAGACAAAATATTTGAAATTACAGTAGTACCTACTATTTCATCATTTATAGATGTTTGTTAATGTGTATTATGTTATAATAATTTTATCAAATTATAACCACGAAATGTCAAACTGGCGCAACCAATTTCATT